GAGTAAGAGAAAAATAAGGTAAGTGGAATGAGCATGGTATTATTTGTTGTGCAGGCGTAGAAGGAGAAGGTGGGTGCCACCTGGAATTCCAAACATACCAAGGCGCGTTGGACGTACGCTTGGGCAGTTGCAGCGCCAGGTGGCCTCCCGCTCTTTTAATTTCCTTTTTCTTTTCTTGACTTAAATACCAAACTATTCTTATTAATACTCCCTCAATTATAATCAAGTAGAGAGAATGAAGATATTAAGAAAAGTGATTATAATATTTTAAAAAAATTATATTTTTAATAATTAACCAACTTACCTAACTTTCTTAATTTAATCAAATTAATTATATATATTTTATGTTAAAGAGTGGATAAATATTTAATAATATTAATGCTCTTTCTGCCCATTATTACAACCCAATGAACAAGTGCGAAGACATTAGAAAAGCATAAACAAAAAGCATTGTTGGGTGGCTGCCCAGTACGATGCCACATAGGGATGCGGCCATGAAGTGGGTCTCGTCTTGGTTAATTGGCCCGTTTTATATATATGACTTTTTTTCCCATCCTAAGTATGAATTCAGTTCATTCTTTTAAGCTTCATTTGATTACAGGGATTTTGGTTCACTGAAAAAAAACTACTTTCGACTTTTAATATAAGACATCATTTGATTTTTATTTTTGTACTAAATATAAGACATCAATCTATTTTATCTCTCATATTTATTCTTTTTTTCTTTCAAAACAGTCCTTCTAATAATAGTAGTTCTAACTAGTAAACTTGATTAGCTATGATATTTTAGGATAAACAACACTTATATACTCCTCCGGTCCTTATTATAAGACTCAATTTGACTTTTTATTTGGTCCTAATTATAAGACTCCAATCCATTTTATCTCTTATATTTATGCATTTTTTCCAAGATAATTCTTCTAATAATGATAGTTTTAGCCAATATACTTAGTTAGCAAGAATATTTTAGGAATGACAACACTTATTTATTATAAATAACCAACTTAACTTACTTCCTTAATCTCCTCAAATAAGTCAATTGGGTCTTATAATTAGGACCGGAAGAGTATTACAAATAACTAATTTAACTTATTTTCTTAGTCTACTCAAATTAGTCAACTAGTTCTTATATTTAGGATCGCATGTAGTACTTTTAAAGAGTATTTTTACGTAAATCAAGACAAAACTTCTCTTATATTTATATGTTATATAATGTAAAATTACTTTTAAAACTGTAGTTTAGTTAACATCCTCTATATATCAGTGTTGTATGTTTCACAAAGTATTTAACAATAATTAAATATAAATTGATCTATGTGTCTCTCTCTCCCTCTCTTAACCACCCCCAAAACAAAAATTCTTTCTTTATAACAATGTTCTCTGATCTCTCTCAAACCACCCCCTCAGAGAAAAAAAAAATCTTTCTTGATTACAATGCAGGGGCACATGTTGAGTTTTTGATTAAGATTGACTACTTTTAAATGTCTAATTTTCTCTTCTGACCAAAAAAAGAGTCCAATTTTCTTGATATATCAATTACTTATAGATTCGCATTCAATTACCATTACCTTGTTAATACTATGTATGTATTACTGAACAATCAACCGAAGAGCGTGATTTTACATGTTACATATGATAAAGCGTGATTCCTTTCCCGCTCCTTTCTTGCTTTCTCTCGTGTATGCGGGGAAGCTGTAACTTGGATGAATTATTGAAGGAAAAAGCAGCGTGAATTCCACAGCCCTAATTCCTACGATCCTCTTGTGGGTGCGGCCGGCGATTCTGGGCAGTGTGGGAGGGGGCGTTTGATTGAGGTTAGTATATGTCTCTTTGATGAATTTTTCCTTTGGTCTGTAACAGAAATCTTGGTACAAACTCTTCTATACTCTGCTTTTGGAATTTGAATCCTTGTTCGTGGGGAATTAAACGCATTAGATCTGTTTGCCATTTTTTATTCTCTGTTGTGCTTTAGCTGAGCTTAGTCCGCCTTTTTTGGTGATAACTTTGTGCTGTTTCTGATAGCTGGAGAAGAACAGAATGAGAGATCTTATCAAAGAGCTTGAGAATGGCATCAGATTTCAGATCTTCAGCTATTAGTTTACTTTGACATGGTATCCACCACGGAGGAAATAGTATAGGCTTTGGTTTGTATCTTTTGTTCTTATCTTTCTTAAAAGTTGTTGATAGAAAGTAAGGACTTCTTTGTTTTCTTGTTTTAAAAACAGTTTTTTGTTTTTAAAAATAAAAAAATTTTAGTAATTTGTTTTTTAATTAAGTGTTATTTAAATATTAAAAAAATAAAAACATAAATCTGTTTTTAAAAAACTAAAACAATTTGTTTACTTGTTTTTGTTTTTACATTTCTTATTCTTTTGGGGGGAAAATTGGGAAATTCTATCTTCTTCTTTCAATGGCTTTTTTTCTACTTAAAGACTTAAATTCTCATTGAAGCTCCGCACTCCGATCTAAGTATGTTTATTTTCAAATGTAATTTTTTTAGACCAATTATCCAAACAAATATTTTTTTTTTTCAAAACTTGTTTTCAAAAGCATTTTTATGAACTTTTTTTGATAACAAAAAGATAAAAATAGAACTAAACAAGGCCTAAGATTTTTTTATATTTGTTTTTGATAACATAGTTGGATTTTTGTTGTCTACGTTGTTTTAATGGTTTAATACATAAAATTGGGACAAAACCAAGTTGGGTCGACCTCCACTTGAGTGAGCAAAAACAGAGAAGGCCCCCAGGTCCAAAATTAGAATTTACGAATGGGCTCAAAACTTTTGATTGTCTCAATCTTTGCCTTGTGTGCTTTGGGTCAGACGCCAATGCCCCAATAACCTAAATTGCAACTCCATTATCCAGCAACCAAAAACACCCACACAAAACCCGAAACTCCTTTTCGGGATCGCCGCCTGTGGGTCCCTATCTATGATGTATTGTATTTTTAACACGTTACTTTTTCCCTTTTTTGGGGTCACAACACGTTCTGCCCAATTTATTATTACAACCCAACGAGCAAGACAACGCTAAGAAACTGCCCAATACGAGGCGATATTGAGATGCGACCTTGCATACAAATGAATATTAAAAAAAAAACAAAGAGCCATGCATAGCATACGTAAGGGAGGTGGGGAGTCAAAGTTTTTTCTTGTCCCAAGCATGAATTCAGTTCATTCTTTTAAAACCCATTTAATTGTATGGTTATTGTTGTATATTACAGAGTTTTTAAAAAATAATTAAATGTAAATTCATCTAATTGAAATTACATAATTTGAAGAAAATACGTACCCTCTGCTTACGCGGATTATATATTATACTGTCTTGTGTCATTCATGACTCATGAATATTAATATAATATGATTTGTTAATTTTTTTTATAATATAAGATCGTCTTAAGTTCCAAGTATTTGCTTAAAGATTCAGATTTTTTAAAGCACACCTTCTACTTTTTTTTATAAAAAAAAAACCGTTAATAAATCGTAAAAAAACAACATAATAATATACAGCACATTCTGTGTAAAGTATTGATGAGCAGAGAAATTGAAAAACTGCTTCATTATGAAAACCTCTAACCCAATTAAAGTGGCTTGGGAAGCAAGTATTAGTATTACTTTTACACCTCCAATTTTCTGTATATTAATTAACTATAGATTCGCATTCAGCCACCATTACCTTGTTAAAATTATGTACTGCTGCTAATCTCTAACACACCTAAATTAATATCAATTTTATTTGCTTGAATATATATAATACTATCCTGTTCTTAATATCAGAGTTTGTCAACTAACTTGAGCAGATTAAAAAAGTTTATTAAGTTAGTTATTTGTAATAAATAGATGCTATCTTCCCTATAATACCCTTGTTACTCATATATATTAGTTAAAATTAATATTAGATGGAACCCTTAATATGTGCAACCACTATAATAACTAGTTTAAAAATATATATAAATACAAGAGATAAAATAAAGCCACCCGAACCTCTTACCGGTTGCGTTCGTTTTCTGCTTGGTCATCTTTGTTCTTCGCCGCAACTCAGAATCCGGAGTACAGTTGGGTTCCAGCAGTCCAAATGACTATCATCACGTTGAATTTGGTCCTCCAAATGCAGCTGTCATAGAAATTGGCGATGAAGACACCGACGGGGAGGTCTTAATTGACTTTTGCAGCAAACTATTCAAGATTTTGTTTAAACCTGTTACTTGAACTAACAAGCACGTATTTTTATCTTCAAATGAAGAACCAGAAACTCACTTCAAGTTCGAAATCTTGCAAGTAGGGCAGGCTGTTCAACGTTCCTCTGCTTTCCAGTTACAAGAAGCTTCTTCATATTACTGCTTACAAATTAAAAATGACAAAAGTCGATGAACCAAATTTACCCTTTCACGCCTTAACTCTCAGAGCACATCATAAATTCACACGCAAGACTAGATTACGAGAAGAATCTAAAATTCTAAAAAAAGGAAAGGCTTTAAAATTCTAAAATTCGGGTGCCTGGAAAAGAACAGAGAATAAGAGATCTTGTGCATCATCAGTCCAGGATCTGGAGATATGTGGGAAGTGTGTCAGCCATAAATGGCCTGATTTGCTTTGGTCTCAGCTCCACCTAAAAAAGATGACTTGGAAAGTGGGGTTTCGGAGGACTCCTTGCTTATCTATTGGTGGGTTTGATTATGTGGTGCCTCATCTGGCGGCCAGGAGTATTCGAGTTTCAAAGAGAGTCCAAGGTGATGTGGCAGCCCTACTTTTTGATGTCATCTGGTTGATCTCCGTCCTGCATGATGAATTTGCGACTGCAAAATCAGATGCACGGAGCATTATCTCGTGTGGTTCATTTGCCTTGACGTCGCTGTCCAGGTCAAGAAAGTTTGAGCTTGGATTAGAAACTGGCTTCTCCACTTTTTCCCTGTCTCTGTTTGCCGCACAGCTTCTCAAAATCAACTGGAGCTTCTTACCCATTGCTCACAATCCGGATTACAGATTGGTTCTATCAGCCCAAATGCTGCTGTAGGAGAAATTGGCGATGAAGACATCAATGAGGAGGTCTTAGTTGAGCTTTGCAGCAAAATATTCAAGCATTGAACCTGACATGAAACACTAAATTGTTACTTGAACAAGTATTTTGTCTTTGTGGATTTTGTTTTTCGCAGAGCCAAGATTCCCCAGGGATGGGACAAGTTTCGGGGCAAAGCCTGCCATCCACGAACAATCAGCAGAATAACCAAGAGGAGTCTTCTCAAGCTGTAAAGTGACCAAAATGGAATATAAATATTCAGTTTACTCATACTCGTCATCACTCAGCAACTACTGTCACTTTCATACAGACGCATCACTCCTCATCTGGTGTTGATGGTTTCCATTTTTTTTTTTTGGCAGGAATCCTCAGGAAACAACAGGGTCACAATCCAAAACGACTGGACTCACAGTTCAGCACCACCACCACGGAAACTCCTAATGTCATCCTCTGATCCTCTTAAACACCCTTCTCCTATAACGTTTCTGCTCAATTGTTTTTAATGGCAATAATAAGTCATTATAGATTCATGGTGGCACAGTAAGACAATAAAGAACCTGCCAGGTAACATGCAAAGGTTTGATAATAAAGAACCAAAATTCTCACAGTATAACTGCAATTTTTCTCACAGATTTCTCAATACTATAGCTGCAATTTTTCACAGTAAGATAATAAAGAACCAACATTCTCATACTATATAGCTGCGATTTTTCTCAGAGATTCTGCCGGTGCCATACAGCTGAACACTGTAATGAATGGACTCAATTATATTATGCACAGGGATCATGAACCAGAGATTAACGGGCCTAAGAGATGGGACAATTGGGCTTGGGAGGGGTGCACTGATATTGAACATGCGATTAGGGTATATAAATGGAGGAAGAAGGTGGCTTGGAGGTAGGAAGGAATTATTTCGTCCCTTTTCCCCCTCGGATTCCCGTGTGACTTCTTTTCTCTTTAAGTTGATCTTCATCTTCTTCTCTGTATTTCTTTTGTCTTACATATTTAGAGTGATATACTACATCTAATCTTAAATATAATATCCATTTGTAATCGTGCACATTCTTGTAAGCTTAGATATGGTTTTTTATTGTCCATCATGAATAAGGTTGTGTTTAGTTCAACAGAAGGGAAGTGAGGAGAGGGATTATAATAAAAGGAAGGGGAGAGAAAGGAATGGGGTTTTAATGAAAAGAAGAGGAGGGGAGAAATTATAATGTTATCTTGTTTGGTTTAGAAGTGGAGAGAAAAGAAAATATTTTTATATAGATAACTTTATCCTTTTTAATTAGTTTTTATTTTGTGACATTTTTAATAAAATATTATTATAAATGACAATTAATATATGAAATTACAATTTTGAAATTATCAAAACGAATAATTTTTTGCCAACTATCAAAATTGAATAAATATAATTATAATACATGATTAATAGGTATTTGTTTGATCTTTAATATAAGACATAATTAACTGATTTGATTAGATTAAGGATGTTAATTAAATTAGTTAATATGATATGTTTTTTCTAAAACATCCTAAGCATCTTTCTTAGTTTCCTTCCTTTTTCTCCTACTTGATTATTATTGAGAGAATATCAATAGGGTTGATTTAGAAAAAAATTGATAAATATATGAAATAAGTATTATATATAGGACCAATGTAATCTCCTTGATTGGATTCTATATTAAGGAATGAATGAGTAATATATTCAACATTATTAAAATGAACAATTTTTTTTCTAATTATAAAAACAAATTTTGATACTTTCTTTTTATAAAAGGTCGTTTTTTATTTTCTCATTAAAAGTCAAGATAATAGATAATAAAATCATTAATAACATTATCATACAACAGCAATTAATAAATGATTCGTTCATAAAGATCTTACATTTAACAAAGACTTGTTCACAATATAATACCAAAGCAGCAAGTCTATTGTACCCTCTTATTAGGCCAGTTAAGTTCCCCACCACAAGCTATCGCTTTCAACAGCTAAAGTTGCTGGAGTTTGAAAGAATTTAGCATAATACTACCTCCGGTCATTAATATAAAAGTTAGTTTAATCTTGAATTTGGTTCTAAATACAAGACTCTAATATATTTTGTCTTCAATATTTATTTTTTCTAAAAAAATAATTTTTATAGTAGTTATACATGTTAAAGATTTTATTAAATTATAGATTTAGTTAATACGCATGATTAACATTTAATAAGGATATTTTAGAAAAGACAACACGTATTTATTACAAATAACTAACTTAACTAGTTTTCTTAATCTTTTCAAATTAATCAACTAGATTTTATATTAAGGATATGTGGTAGACCAAAAAGGAATAAGACTCATGGCATATGAAATCATGCAGACAATCATTGTATTGCATACAAAGTAAATAGCCAATTTCTAACACATTATAAACAATGAGAAATGCTAATCCCTAAATTTTCTTTCACTTTTCATTGCCAAAACTTCTCTCCTAGTTCACACGATACACAATGAATCAAATTAGTTTTGATAACTACAATATATCAAAAACACAACTTGCAAGGTGCCCCCCAGACGCAAGCAGCAATATGCAGTTTGAAAACCGAGTTTTTAATATATCAATGGAGTTTGAAACTTTCTTTGAGGACCAAGAGAGTTTAAAATTTAAACCTTTTACTACTACGTACCTATACCCCACCGACGACACTTGCCATCTCAAAGTTTCCTGAAGTCAGGATCAACGGTTCTGATATTCAGCAAACCTGATATTACCCGTTGTGCTTGTGTGTGTATATTCTCTCTGGATCATTTATTTTCCTGTGATTTTATATATTTTGAGTATTTTGAATTGCTCTTATACATGCAGGACGGATATAGAGTGCCAAGAACAAAGTATGAGCTGCATACAAAAAAAACATGCGATTAGTGATAGAATTTTTTATTTAATAATGGAATTAGCAATAGAATTTGTTCAAAATTAGTGATGGAATTAGTGACAGAATTTGTTCCATTGCTAATTGAAATTCTGTCACTAATTAGCCAAAGATAAGCGACGGAATCTTTCGTCGCTAATTACTAACGAAAATTTTTCGTCTCTAATTACTGTCAGAAATTTTCGTCACAAATTAGCAACGAAAAAATTCAGTTGTTAATCCGCCTCTAACCCAATTTTTGCAATAAAATAAAATATCACATGGCGGCTCTGCCAGTCAACACGTCATCACCAACAACGACCGCCGCGTCAAGGAACAAAAAACCAAATCGGATACTAAACCGGTTGAGGTAGTGATTCAATGGTCAGTTGGTCGGATCAGGTTCAACTTGGATTCCAACCGGTCATATTAAAATAATATAATTCAATTGAAAAAAACGAAATATAACAATATTAATAATCACTAATAACATAATATAAGAAAATATAACAATAATTTAATTATAACAATAACAAAGTATAACAATATTGAAAATTTTGATATTTATGGTTCATCATTAACTAGAATTAATAATCAATGATACCAAACTCATCATTAAAATTCATTTAAATCCATAAAGGTTGAGGTATTAGGAGCTGAATGAGGAAAAAATATGACTAATAACAACATAATCATCCAAACCGGTTCACACTAGTTTTTACCAGTTCAACTCCCCCCCAGTTTAACATCCAAACCAAACCGGAGCACGGTTCACTAGTTTTCCAGTTGAACCGGCTAGTTTGATTCGGATTTTTATTCTCAACATTGCCACCTCACGTGTCACCTTGTGATGTCACATGTTACCACTACATGAGTTTTTCTCAAAGTGACTTCTCACTGGCTTGAATCCGAGACCTCGTCTATTCAAGCATGCGGCTTTACCAATTGAGTTGCAATGAACCTATTGACTTATTATGCAAAATTATTATATATGTATATAAAATATTCTTTTACACTAATAATTATATATACATATATATATTAAAAACTAAAAATAAACTATATGATAATTTTAATCATAACTATTTTATGAAAACATGATTTTTAAACATTTGTTTTACTATTCCTTTGGTCCTTAATATAAGACCTAATTATTGAGTTAATTTTAGTCCTAAATATGAGACCCATTTCTCATATTTATCAATTTTTTAAAATTATCCTATGATACTTCCTCAACCATAATCAAGAGAAGAGAGAGAGAATATTAAAAAAGATGATTATGATATTTTAGGAAAAACATGTCATATTTCTTATAATTAACTAACTTACCTAACTTTATCAATCTAATCAAATTAGTTAAATAGGTCTTATATTAAGGACCCGAGGATTATTTATTTTATAATCTTTTATTTTTTTAAAAATATTTTTAATATAATATAAATAATTTTTAAATTTATTTTTTAATTAACATTGATAAGATAAACAATTTAATTATATTATATTATATTATATTATATTATATTATATTATATTATATTGTCTATATATGTTTTATATATTTGATGAAGACCATTTATAATTGGTAAAAAAAATCTTGTTATTCAAAAAGTAGCTACTATAATAAAACCTAATAAATTATTCTATATAAAAAATTAAATGATTCTAATAGATTATGATAAACAATATTCTTCTACTTGTATAGATATCCTATTTTTTTTCTTAAAATTCTTTGTATATACCATTTGTTTTTGCATTAAATAGCAAAATCAATCTATATTATGGGTATTAATTATATCGTGATTAAATTTTATTGTTTAATTAAAATTCAAAATTCATTTCAATATTAGTTTGTGTTCATATAAATTTATATTTTGGTTTTGAATTTCTATCATATGTTATATCTTTCAATACATTGTACATATGATAAAATTATTTCTTTCTTATATCAATTTGTATAAGAAAGTTATTAATATTCTTATTATATTTTTTTTAATTATTATTAATAATCAAGAGGAATTGATTTTAGTGAAATATAAACAAATTTTCTATAAAATTGTCTTCATATTCTCAGTATATACCTAATGATGATATGAATGATGAAGATACCTTCATTAACATGAACTCCACAAATATATCAATTTATTTTACAATTAAAAATATATTTCAATCATTATATTCTTAATATATTATTATAAATTTTTGTAAGATTATAATTTAAATTAATGAAATTTAAAATTAGTGACAGATTAGAGACGAAATTACAACAAAACAGAATCAGCAACAAAATTAGTGACGAAAACTTCTGTGACAAATAATTTAGCAACGAAAATTAGTGATGAAAATTTTTTATCGCTGAAAATTTTATAATTAAAATTAGCAATTGAATTAGTAACGGAAATTTCTGATAAAAAAAATTCTGTCATTAATTTTGTTACTAAATTTTATTGACGGATTTTTAACAAATTAGCGATGGAATAATTTTCTGTCAGTAATAAACTATTTTTATTAATGATCCATTAATTACCGAAAAAGCCA